AAGCTGGTTGAGTCAGGGGTTAGCAACTAGCATGTGAAGGTGGACTTCAGTCTGACTCAACTGAAATTCAAGACAAAAATTTTGCAAATATAAAAATTATTTAGCTGCTGTTATGCCATTGAGGATAGAATCTTAATATAAGAATTAAAAGGCTATAAGTAAAAGGAAGCAACTTCAAATAGAAGCACTACCCAAAGACTTACAAATGAGTAGCTTAAGCTAACAGTGCCAGCATTTAGCTATTTCGAAAGTAACATTCAAATATACCAACAGCCACAGCAACAAAAAAAATCAAGAAAAACTCCCCGAATTCCTTTTCATGTCCCTAACAGCTGAACACTGTTCTCAAGAAAAGGGAACTATATTGTGCACAGGGTTCTTAGTGAGCTTTGATGTATTTCTTCTCTCCCCCCACCCCAAGTCTACTTTGTTCCTGGAGGTTGGGGAGCTCGGGGGCTGTGTGTTCATTGTGGAAGGCTTCCTTCCATTGCAGAATCACTTATGACAGGCTTCATCAGCCTTGATCAGAGGCTTTGATTGACTTCTGAATTCCCTCCATCATCACTGCACTCTGTCTGCTCGTGCTGTCCTCACCCCAGTTCAGTGGGTGATAGAAGGATGTATTTCACAGCTTTACTTCCTTTCTAGGACTGCAGATAGCTGCAAATGTGTGTAATTCAATAAACCCTTTCCTTGGAGAGGCAAGAGGGGGCCTATGACCTGTGTCAGTATTACGGCTGGTCCACCCCCCCACCCCCCACCCATTTTACCTTAGGGTAAAATGGCATTTTGTTGAGGAAACATAATCTTCTGCTTTCATTACATTTTACTCAATGCCATTTGTTTGCTGTGAGTGCTACACATATTCAGGGCCATATTATACGTGCTGTATGTCCTGTTGCCACTTGAGCGATCATGTCAAATATCAATGGAAACAAAAATAATAAAATGAACTTATTATAAAGATCACTCAGATGTGCTGGCTCACAGTGTCTCTTGGTCTTAACATTTTAGAGATCCTTTTTCCCAAGTCTTTTCTCTGCTATTCCAAAGCAACTGTTTTCCTTTTGATAAAAGCTATCCAGCCTTTTGAATTTTCAAGGAAATATAATAAATAAATAAATAAATAAACAGAAAGAAGGGGGGAAATGGCCAGGTCTACTGAAGAGAGAGAGAGAGAGAGAGAGAAAATCCCATTAAAGTGGAATAATAGTAAAATAACAGTAACAGCAAAAGTGCAAATTCTTAACAGACCTAGGCTTACTTTGTATTTTTTTTATTTTACACACAATGATTATCCGGGACCCTTGTGATGCTGATATGCACACATATTTCCCTGGTGTTGTTCTATGCTACCCTGTCCATTCTAATACTTCCCTAGAGACTTAAAATCTACCTGTAGCATTTTGAACAACATATTTGTATATCACAGCTTCTCTCCAGAATTCTCACTGAATTTTCACGCCTTGGAGATCACATTTATTTGTATGTGTGTTTTGGTCAAAGTAGCTTTAAAAGGACTGCAGATGAAACAAATGCATTTCTGGCATCTCCATATCAAAAATTATGTATTCAAACTGGAGACAATCCCAAGAGCAGCCAAGAGAATGATGAAGGGAATGGAGTGTTCAGCTAAGAACTGCAAGGCTTCTGATGTCCCTCGAGCTGGGAAAACAACAATAAAGGGACATAACAGCTCATCAATATGCAAAAGGCATAGACATCAAATCTGCGTAGCAATGATTAATTCTGGGATGTGGGCATGTACTTTGGCATCAAGGGCTGATGCACCCATCTCACGGGGCGGAAAGGAAGAGTATTACGTGGCATCATTATTTGAAAAATATGTCGTATTAATTATTTATATATAATTTTCTGGCATCCGATGGAATTTTTTATCACTCCATCACAAGTGATGCTCAAAACAACCACATTTAATATTTCAACAGAGAGGGATGTTTCAGTTGACTTGCACTCTGCATTTTCTAGAGGAGAGATTTTCATTTTGCATAATTCTCATTTGACTGTAGCTCATATTTTCATTTCCTAACTGTCCTAACATGAATTAGCACAGTCCAGCATCAATGCCCAAGACAGCTCCCTGATGACCGAGTGGGAAAACCTGAGAGCTGATGGCTCATCAATAACCACTTTTAAATGTGACTACAAACTCGGCCAGGAAGATTCTTGGGGGGAAAAAAAGCAGTCCAAAAGCATGTTTGCACTGGACTATCGGGAGACTATTTTCTCCCCCTGTTCCACTTAGATGTTTTTCTCCTTCCCCCAAAACCCACATTCGTAGTGTCTGATGTGCATAAGTTCACACTGAGTCTGAATAAACTCAATGGCAACTAAAAACACAACATTGTGGCTCTAGTTCTGGGTTCAGTAATAATGGTATAAATATAAGCTTGACCTGGGCACTGTCCTCAAAGATGAGTTCATTAGCCCAACGTGTAAATAATGAATTGCAACTGAGAGTAAGGCATGTAAACCCAGCTAAGATCAAGGGAGGGTCAGCCTAGGAGGTGAGGATTGTGCAGAGCATGGAGGCAGCACATTGTACATTTCAAAAAGGAGGGGCTGCTCCATCTAGTCTCCACAGTAGGAGAGCCAAGCCCTGGTTTAGCACAGCATTCAAAATAGTCTCTGAACTAGATTGGAGCATCGCTGAAAACAAAGCCTTGTGAAATAGTCAGAAACTAACAGGAGAAGGCAGTTATAATCTTCTCTCACATGAAAACATTTTGCTAGGACTTAAATAAAAACACTGTTCTCTCTTACCATAGTTTTTCCTCTAAGAAAACCCACCAAATCAATAAATCCATCAGAGTAGTGTGCAGAGATAAGCGCCATCAACCAGTCTCAGCTGGTGAAGCAAGATGACCCACTCTATTTAACACAGCACATATTTCATTGTGACCCTCTGCTCCTGGAGCTGCAGTCGCTCTCTTCCAACAACGCAGGTCTCTGAGAAGATGCATGGATACAATCATCCACGGAGCTTATTTCTGAAATAAAACAATGGCTGAAACCTACGAGTAAACCTTACTTTAATTTGATGTATCCGATTCAATGTCATAAAATTCCTAATCCCTAAATTGTAGGCTTTGCCCTAAACAATTTTAACTACACTTAAATATTGAAAATATAACAGCAAAATATTTATACATTATCGTTTAATCAGGCACTTGTGGTTAGCTTCATTCCATTTGTATAATTCTGTAGAAGCTATATATGCAGGCTGGTGGGGAAGCTCCTAATGAAGGATTTTCAAAATAAAATGAAGGGGTGTGTGTGTGTGTGTGTGTGTGTGTGTGTGTGTGTGTGTGTGCTTATGGTAGGACAACAATGCCATAAACATTTCCTGCAAGCTGCATAGCTGAATTCCTGAACCATCACAATGCAAACAGTGATGGGAGGAGAGCTTTCTTTGTAGTGAGAAATAATGATTTGATCAATCATCAAGAAAAACACAATAAATAAACATAATTCAATAAAAGAAAGGAAAGAATGCATTGTGATGAGTGGGCAATGCTTCTCCCTGGTTACCATCCATTTTCATGATGTCAAAAGACACAAGTATTAATATATCATTATGACAACTGTAATTAAGATTCTTTGTGGCAGCATAATATCTTTTAAGGATTTAATATTGAGCTTTGTATTTGATCCATTATTTTCACAGATTTACCAAAGTTCCTTATGAACTAGTAATCCATTTAAAGTGAAACCATCAGTGTTTTAATGGAATAAATGTACCAATCACAAACCGTCATCAAGTAATCTGGTTAATTGGATTTTTGGAAAAGTGTTCCCTAAAGACATCAGGGTATATCTCAAGTGCTTTTTAATCTTCTACCAGATCTTCAGATTAATGTGAGTTGGAAAACTGATGCAGAGGAGTCCTGTTGGAGCAAGTTCCCAAGGGGAGAGTGAACACAGGGAAAGAGCTATTGTTATCAAAGTCACATACACGCAGCTGGTTCATAGTTGTATTTTTGGAATACCCTCACCCCAACTATTTGTAAAGTCTTCAGGGTTACCAAATGTTAGGTTTCCTAATAATGAGTCATAAAATCAAAGTGCTCTATGTCTTCCCTCATCGTCTTCATTGTAATTATTAAGACCCCAACACATAGAAGCATCCTGCCCCCAACAATATGTTGATTCTGCAGGAGTTCACATTTTTTGATGACAAAATGTCATCTTCAGAAAGAAAAAAGTTTGCAAAAGACAATCTTCCCTTGAAATCATTCTATCTTTAAAAACAAGTAATGATACTAATAGTTAGCATTATTGAACAATACTACAGACAAAGCAGTATTCAAATGCAATATCAGATGTAATCTCATTTAATCTGCACCTATGGGCAATTGACACTATCATGCCTTTTGTTGGGAATCATCCAGTGGAGACTTACCGGGGCTAAATAGTTAGCCCACAGCCTCAATATTGTGTACCCAGCTCTTCAAAGAACTTTTACACACAATTCCAAACTCACTGAAATTCGTTCAACCTGCTAACACACAAGAACGTTACAAAAGCACGTGCACTTGAGAATTCAAGTCAGATTTCCCATTGATCCAAAGCCAAGGACCAGGTCTAATGGTGGAAACCTCTGGGAGCATGAAGGGGGGGGGGGGTTCCATTGACTTCTGAAATTACCAGTTTTCCAACTGAACCTATAAGCCTCCTAAGAAGTACACCTTCTCAGTTCCAGATGATGGGATTAATTTTCTATTAAAATTATATGTAGATAAATATCTCCAGGATAAACAGGTCAGCTAACTAAGGTTTTGTTTTTCCAAAAGAGAGGGAGGCAACCCTCCAATAGTACAGCTCTAGTCCATATTCCATTTCCAGGTTACCACAAACACCTCGGTTCTGTGGCAGCCTCCTTCTTTTGCGTCACTCCTTCGTCCTGCTCTACACCACAGTGTAATAATTGAGTACACTAAAAAATGCACAAAGCAACAGTGTAAGGAAAACATTCTTACCAGGAAATGCAGTGTCCCTCGGTTCCACAATGACGCGTATACAGTATTAAAACAAGACCATGGTTAGCGGGTTACAGCACCTAGAGTGGGATATAAAGATTATAATTTTACAAATAATCTGAATTTTAGGGAGCACTTTTACATTAATGCTGACCTTTTTATTCTTGTGTTATAAAATTGATTTAAATATTTCTTAAGCCCACCACCCCCATAACTATCACTAGTGCCAGACGCCTTCAAGTCAGCTCTGACTCCTGGTGACCCAGGAGCATCAGAGAAGAGCTGGGCTCCCCAGAGCATCTGCTGCTACATGCCCATCCACTACCTCAGCGACAGCATGGCTCTGCTCACCCAAAAGGTGCCCTGGATTTTTGTCCATAAATTGTAGCATCTGAAAGGGTAGGCATGTGTAACGCAACCACGTAATTACATTTCTCTTTGGAAATATGATTGACGTCTCCCTTCATCCACTTTAAGGTTGTCTGTCCCCCAGGGAGGAGGTCACACACAGTTCCATGTAATCGGTTCCCTCTTTCCTACCCATTCTCCCTTTACCCTTCCTGTTTGAGACATCGGACAGGGCAAGACATGACAAAATACCTATTTATAAACTATCAAGGGCTCATGCGGGAGGGGGGAGCGGGGAGGGAGGGGGAAAATGAGGACCTAATGTCGGGGGTTTAAATGGAGAGAAAATGTTTTGAGAAACGATGTACAAATGCGCTTTACACAATTGATGTGTGTATGGATTGGGATAACAGTTGTATGAGCCCCTAATAAAATGTTAAAAAAAAAAGAAATATGATTGACATGCCTTCCCTCAAAAGTTGAAGTACTTTACAACAGGCCAACATTTGTAAGTATTTCTACTTGGCAGAACTCCACGAAGCGCTTTCTTTTTTCCTCCTTTTTTCTATGTTAGTCACTTACTTTTGTCTGATGCTGCAGCCAATCTGTCAAAGCAAAACACAACGAACGCTCTATCAAGAAGCCCTCGGTGAATTATGGAGTTAACATAAACGATCAATTCAAGAGACGATCTCTCACCCAGGTGTGCTTTGCCAAGTCTCTCATCTTTTTCAAAATCAACATGTGAAACAGAGGATGTGTTTCTACCAATTGTAGACAATCCTTTCATTTTTAATTGCCATATGACTCAAGGATTGGCTCCTGATCTCTGAAAGATTGCTTATAAGCGTCTCCTTGGATTCTGTCCCATGAATATGCCTTTGAAAAGCCCATATTTCCTGTGAGGCATAAGGAAACTCTGATTAAGTCAAAGAATGTTTTGCACACCAGTTTTGGGAAGTTAGTGAACTTCATTCAGAAGAACTAAGTTCTAGCTAATAATTCCAACTCATTTCGATAGGGAAGATTAATTGAAGAGATTTCTGAAATGACAACATCCTTTCTAAGATAAAGAAGGATGGCTAAAATATTCAGATACAACCCACGTCCTTTTCTGCATGTTATTTGACAATCCCTTTGGCCTTATTCCAGGAGCTGTTGCCAGGAAGTTATGAACAGATTGCAATTCGTCCTAAGAACCTCACACTGATATTATGAAAAGAAAATTCTTTTCTGGCAAGCATAAGAATAGTCCCATGGCTTTGTACTTGACCAAGCAACACACTTCCATGACTTTCCCCTTTATTCTTTTGCTTACTAATCTGATTTCAATCCCATTAGGCCTACTTCTGATAATATTATTATTTGCATTATTATAACAAGCAGAATTATTTATGAAAGAATAACAAGACTTGCAATAGCATTTCATATGACTCCTAACCAGTGGGCCCTATAGTATATATTATTATTACTGGAGTCTAATCACCTTTACTAAAGCTGGGTAATAGAAGAGGTTTACTAAATAGAGGAATACAGAAACTGGCCACTGGTGTGTTGTTCCCAGTCTGCTCTGTGTATTAAACTGGACATTCAGTTAGAGGAAGTGAAAAATGAAGCATCTGCACATTGATTCCAAATGAGATTTGCTGACCTAATCCCCACCCCATTTGCTGAGGTTAAGGTTCAAGGCTTTAATATAGAGTGCGCTTTATTTACTCCAGTATTAAAGAACATCAGAAAACTGATATATTTCACAGCCAGGAGCCACTTTTGTTGCCCAGTAGGGAAGCTCTGAGGTGTCTGTTCGAGAGCCATGCATGTGGTGTAGAAGACACAGGTGGCTCTTCCCAACAGGTCCAACTTTCTTACTCCTCTCATTGACCCCAATGACCACAGAAATCAGTGCCTGTGCTCAATTATTCACCACCTTGCCCGGGATTTTCAGGATGATTGTTTGGCATTGAGCTCAGAGACTGTAGCTGCCAATCAAGCTTACATGTATGCTCACAGCGGCAGCAGATGCCTGCTGAGCTCTCATCTGCTTCATTCAACTCTGGTAGCAATGGCACTCACATTAATGGTGCTCTCTCTCGGGGAGAGAGAGATCATATCTGTATTCTTCCATTCCATCATGTTAAAGCGCATACTCTCCAAAATGTGCTGGAGAGACAAATCTTCAGACTACAACAATACTATTAGAGTATAGTTTCAATACGGAACATTTCTCTGCATATATGAGGAAGGCTTCAGAAAGTTCATGGAAAAAGTTGATTATCTTTCAATGTCTTTTCCTTGTGTTCTTGAGGCCCCTTCATATATAATATCTATTTTATTTTTACCTCGTTCTTTTGTTTTCTTTTCTGTGTCTTTTCTTGTGATAATACATCACGCTATTTATATCCACATAATTTAGTATATGTACATATTGAGGGCATATGCTCACATATTATAAAGAGAGTACATTATAGATACTACTATAGTCTAAAGGAGTCCTACCGGTTCATTGGGTTAAGTGTGGGGCTACTGTCTAAAAGAACTAGGGTTCAAATCCGCCAGCTGCTGCACAGGAGAAAGACGTGGCCAGCAGTTCTCTAAGTAGCCAACGCCTTGGGAACCTTACAGAGCAAGTTCTACTCTGTCCTCTAGGGCCAATGAGTAGGCATTGATTCAGCAGGAAAGGGGTTAATCAACTTGATGGCAGTGAGCTTGTTTTTTGCTTATAGACCAAGGAAACCTCAGACCCATTCCACATTTACTGTATTAAGCAAAATACTAAATGTTTTTTGAAGTTGTTTGCCCTAGAAATCTTTACTCTTTCTCCCACCCCCATAAGAGGAGATACTTAGAGATCAGCATTTTCTATTCTTGGTGGAAATACTTTTTCTTTAAGTTCCTATGTTTATTTTCTAAGCGGTACACACATAAATCCACCACCCCACACCCATCCATCCAGTCCATTCTGATCCTAGCAGCCCTAGACCAGGCTTCTGAGGTTGTAAATCTCCACAGAATCAGAACGCCGCCTCGTTCTCCCTTGGATTGGCTGCTGGGTCAGCAGTACACCGATTTCCTGACAGTTCTCCCACGATTATTCCTTATACTTCCTAAATTTAAAGATTGAAAGGAATGCTGAAAAAGAACATCCGAAAAATCTAGAAGCATGTTAAGGTAATATAGGTCTCTGGGCTCTTACTGATGTGCTGTCTTCATTAAAGGGTGAGATGAGGCTATTGCTGAAAGTAAAAAAGCGTAGGCAAAAATAAAACCAACTATATGCACTGGGGGAAAAAATTAAAGGAACAAAATGAAAGAGCATGTACTAGAAGAAAAATAGACTTTATTCAAGTGCCAAGAAGTAGTAACAACTGTACAAGTGTTCCTAGTGCAACTGTGATCTGGGAGCTCTCCCTCTCCTGAAAGCGTGTCCATGCGTCTCCCCTCGCATGACCATCTGGCTGCCTTCAGTTTATCTAGTGTTTGAAAAGAGGACATTTCGCACAACATGGAAACAACATGCAACACAACACAGGCAAACGCACAACTTCGTGAGTTGCTCAGCAATAGAAAAACATAGCATTTGCCAACATGGCACCTCTGGAGAATATTGCTGAAGTGAAACACTCTTGCACCCTGCTCACTATATTGACAGCAAATCATATGTAGATTGCAATTCCATTCTACACAAAAGTAGCTGAAGGGTAAGAGGGCTGTTCATAAATATCACTGCTAGCTTCGACGGTAATACGGCTTGAACTCCAAAAAGGCATGTTCTGCTTGCTGAACTCGCCCCAGTGCCACTGCCGGGCTCCAGAACAAAACCCAATAATGCGATTTTCAACGACTTAATGAATGGCTGCATGAAAGAGGTGCACATCAAATGATAGGCACCTGCGAAGTTTTGTGACCTTGACAGTCACAGGTCTGAGTACAATGCATTGAAGAGGATAAAGGGGAAGTTTACCACCAATGTGGCACACAAAAGGGACACTGTAGCAGACCGAAAAAAAAGTACACATCTAGGCAGGAAATATAGTAAAGTGTGTATTCGTCTCAGTATGAAATTAAGCTAATCCTGCAAACTTTCAGGATGGTATATAGCTCATTGACAAATGAGGTATAATGGAAGATACGTGCAGGATGGGTTTGGCACATAGGACTAACATGTATGACATTTAGCAGAGGGCTGGGACTCATAAGTTCTGTAAAGGGTGCCTGCTCCGAGCTCCTGTCGCGGTGAGCAGCAGCAGGGATGATAGCTACATCCCCATAATCGTCCCAAGGACACCAATGACAGGACAACGACTCCTCTCCACACCCCAACCTACTTCTTTGTGAGATGACTAGAAATCTTTTGAAGATGCAGGCATCCCTCAATGTATTGCTTCATGGGTGACTATGTTTCAGAGTTATGGCTTCTTTCACTTTTTTAAGTCAGTTGTAGGTTCATGTCAAGTCTATCAGGTCCATGTCTCCAGCAGCATGATGTACGCATTTCATGCCTCTGCGTCATAGTTTGGTAAGCTTTGCATCGTATCAATCGATTCACAATGCTATTGTGCACTTAACAGACGACAGAGCAGGATGCACCTAACTTTCATATGCACTGGGGGGAAATCATAAGACTGGCTGATGGTGATGTCAGTGTTTATTGTGTGGTGGGATCCAAGCTGCAAGATCTCTGAGTAGGGTTCCAAAGGCCACTCCAGATGGTGACACACACATCTTGACAATT